ACTTGTACTAGAACACGGTCAGTTCTTTCAGCTCCGACTTCTGAGGTAAATAGAGCGCAGTATGAGTCCTAACCTTTTCTTTGCTAAGCCTGGATGGATACCTTATCAAGAGAACAGGGAGGGCAGTTCAAAACCCATTAGTGACCACTGACTGAAAAATTGTCTATTGTCTATTCTGCCAAATAGAACAGATCTGTGATGCCCACACCATGAGCGAGCTTGACTCTACTACAGTGTATTTTTCCCCACACTTTTGTCTCTACATGTCTGTATTTAAGGCACCTGACGGTGTTTTTTTGCCGGGAACACTTTCTTTCTCACAATAAGGTTTCTCTTCCTCGTCTTGGCCTGTAGTCACATAATCAATTCAGCGTTTTGTTGTTCTTCCAAGATTTGATCAAAAGTGTCCCAAGCAGTTTGAACTCTCTTCTCTCCCATGGAGAATGTGTTTTTATGGCCTGTGCGTGACTGCGGCTCAGCTCTCGGTATGTCTGTATGCTTCGGTGCCACGAGTTTTCAGGACAAGACTACATGTACAATCCTCTGTCATAATCAATAAAAAGAAAAAAAGAAAAAATTATGTCACATTAGCATATGAAAGCTGAAAAATTCTTTCTTCAGCTTGACTGCCCAGTGGAATGTTTGACTTTCAGTCAGGACCTTTTCTTTCTAGGTCATATGCAGCACAAACCTACAAATGAGACCTCCCTTTTTGCCTTTGATTGATTAGGTTCTGACTCCAATCCATCAAGCCTGTTGCAATTAATGTATCTCACACGCACATCTCCATTTACTCCCCTCACATACAAGCAGAACAAACATTAACAATGAAGGAACATGGAACAGAAAGGTGGAATGCATTGATAAATCATCAAAGAGATCCATTTTTCCAGTGTTAACATGGTCGTATTGTCTCAATTAGAACATACACAGCAGGGAATGTGTTGGAACTGTTAGTCATGACATTTATTTCTTTTTGTGAATCTGTTCCATTTAGATGGATAGATAAGACGATGCGTAAATCCTGGTGTTATTTCTCTATACAAAGACGGGCAGATGAGGCTGACAATGTTGAAGAGATACAACAGAAAAAATATGATAATTGAATGCAGGAAGAACAGAAGTGACATTTAGTAGCTGGCACTCAGGATTAGCTTGAAGTGACTTCATTGTCTTTCTGTCTGCATTGTCAAATCTACTGACAGGCAAATCTGACTCTTTTCCCGAACCTAATATATTTTCTTTCGAAAAGTTATTTTCATCCCGGAGACAGCGTGACAAGATGTAAACATAACAACTGTAATTATGGGTATTGCACCTGTCTAACTGCTGCAGAGAAGTTAGCAAATATTTCTTTGTCAGATTTTTTAGGACAGCTTTATGCAGCAGCAGAAAAATCTCAGTGATATGATCTCCCGTTGTGTCACACTTGCAGTTATTGTGGCTGTTTTAGGTGTCAGGCTGCCTGCACACGGGGCAGGTTTTGGTGGCATTAACGGCCGGAACGTGGCATCTTCTTGTTGACTCGTGGTGCCTCTCACCGATGCCGGCTCCCCGTCAGTCAAATGGAGCCCTGCTGGGGTACTGTCCCGTGGGTAATGAATTCTAAATGGGGGGCGCAACCCCCAGTCCACTTCCTTCCCCCACGCCTCATTAACTTACCACTGATTGATAAACGGTGAGCTGCTGCTGCCATGTGGGGCGGGCGGCTCGTGGAATTAGACAAATTATATAGTTGGCTGGGGGGAGTTCATCACTCAGGAGGGATGAGATGCACCTACAAGTATTTCTGCGCTTTTTTAACTCAGTCTTGCAAATAGTCTACGTAGTATTCCACTGTATGTTTTCCTGCATGTCTGTTGTGCAGATTGCAATTCTTATTTGGATGGGTTTATCATGTTTTAGTCTATTATTTGTGAAGGATTCACAATTTTTCAAGTCTGTCTTAAAGCCACATCTGAACATTGGTTTACTTGCATAAAAAATCTCTCATTAAAGCACGAGTGTTTATCACAGTTGCCAGGAAATCCCTAATCTTAGAACCCATGACTGAACTAAGCCAATTTAGTTGCAAATCCACTGGGGCACTAAGGTCAGCATGTACAGTAAATCAACCAATGATTGGCAGTGACGAACCTCTTTTAGAACTCCTGGCCTCTCGTCTACTAATGATGGTCCATCTGTGACTTGATCAGTCAGCTGTTTTGCCACAGGCATGGCTACCACTGGCCTCTCAGTCCTATTTTTGGCACTTCTACTGCTTCATAGTACTTAGAAAGATTTGAGAACATGCAAAGAAGGAAAACAACTTTTAGACTCTGTTCCTCTACCACTGCAAACGAAGCAGGAAACAACGTAAGAATGCCAATAACTATCATGATGTGCACATGGGTACTTGTACTGCGGGACTAAAGTATGGTTAAAGGGTTTTAACTGGAGAAGGTGCCCTTGTTGCCCAGTTCATAGGTGAAACAATTTGGATTTGAGCTGAGCTGCTGATGTGAAAGCAATGTGACAGAGAATTGTGTATTCAATGGAAATCATCTCTGCCTAAATGGAGCTGTGCAGGGTCTGCTTTGAAAACTCTCCTTGCTGTTGTGTTCAAGGATGCTCTGACATTTGAGAGTGTCAGCTGAAACGTGCAGAAAGCAAAAGCAGGAAATGTGTTCTCCCTGTTAAACAGACTGGTGACATTAACAAATGTTTTTGTTGTGACCTACTAAGATGTGATCAGATACCCTGTAGTGGCATTAATTTATTTCCTGCAATGACTGTATTTCCTCTCCTTCAGCAAGACACTAACATCCCTCCCACGTTCATTCATTGAAAAAAGTAACATATGGATGACACATGGGCGTCTGCAACATGTTCTTGTATACCCACACTCTCCCAGAGTGTTGCAGACAAGCAGGGAGGCACACACATACACACACTCACCACAATGGATTGTCTGTTGCGGGCAGATGTTGAGGCTCTGTGTCCGACTGAGAGAGCAGACCTAATTAAGACTGAAGAAACACATCATTTTATTTGGCGCTCTCTACTCTCGGGCCTCACTTTGATCCAATGATTATTACCAGCTCTTTGGCTCTATAGAGGAGTAGAGGGCGGGGAAGCATTGTGTCTCATGCTGACAGCTCCCAAACAAAATAACCCCCCTCCCCGGGTTGTTACAGCTGACACTCCCAGCTGAGTTGTCAGTGGTGAGGTCAGTAAGAGAATCCAGCTGCCTGCTGAGGTTTGTTCCTCCGCTGTGGATTAGCACCAGCCAACCTTCTGCTGGTATCCTGCGGTGTAATACTGTACATGCGCTGGCTGTGTGTACAGTACGTGGACACATAAACACACTCATCCTCACTTGTAATCACGAACCCTCATGCTGTGATAATCGACCCACATTGCTTTATTGGATCTCACTTTGTTTGTTAATCGCTCTCTGCTGTTGATCTGTCGTCCCACCAGCTGAGTGTCCTTCCCTCCTCCAGAGAAAGGAGCAGTGCTCAGTAACCTCTGTAGGTGGCGAGAAGGTCAGCCAACATCATAGAATGGCAGTGATGGTATAGAGTTTTTTTTTTTTTAATCTTCGAGGTGCCAGGACAGCACAGCATATCACCTCATGCAGGCTTGAAAAGGCCACAGGAGGCTCTGAATGGTTTGTAGGTTGCTGGTTGGGGGACTTGAACAACAGTTACAATGGATTTTAATGAGCCACAGCACAAAATAAATGCATCAAAGCGTCCACATAAACTTCTCAAAGCAAAAATATTGTAGCATAATCCACTTTTCCACTGTTTATCCATATGTTCAGTATGTTCCAAACACTCATAGTCTCTCCAAAACAGTTTTCCCCAAGATGTCTTGGCTACATACCATAGCTGCCTGCGAGGAGCTGTCCTCAGATTCCCTGATGTGGGCATGGTCTGATTTGTTTTCCCTAAAACAGAAATGACACAATGAAAGTTTTTGCTTTGGTGAAGAGTTGGCAATCACTATAGCAGTCTGTTCTCTTGCCACTCCTCTCTTTTTGCTGACTGAAAAATGTAGAGAATGTATATTTTTACACACAGGTGTCACTGCTCGGTGGAAAGCTTTAACTGTGAAGCAATTATAGGAACTATTATTTATTTAAAAAATAAATTAGGTTACTGATTATCTTAATTAACAAGGCTAAGAGTTTACAGCCGTACTTGCAGCTCTGTGATGCTGCACGGCAATACATCGAGTTAAATGCTAATGTCGGCTAGTGTATGATGAGAATGCTGCTAACATTAGCATTAGCCACTACAGCTTTGAGTCCGCTACCAGTAATGTCGCTTAAGCTCTGCTAGGCGCCACTTTACCACCGTATTGTATTGTTGTGGTAACCATCTTTGTACTACATTATACTGACCATTTAAAAAACTGCAAAGGAATTGTAAGAAAGACTGAGAGCAGTGCAGCATCCCTCTGTTTGCCTGTAGCAGAGATTTGTTATGTTGATTTATTGTGCTTTCTAGATATAAACTGTAAATGGATCACTTGATTACCTCAAAGAGTCACTTTATAGTGTTATTGATTCCCACCTGGGACAAAAAATGATTTCTTCACCATATTCCTGTCAGCATAATCTCCCCATTCGCATTTTTATCAGATCATACTAAAATGTCCATTTGCTCATTATTGTTTGCAGTGTGTAAGCTAATTACTGTTCTGCCGTAGCACAATGAGTTATGGATTGATATTGAATGCTTCTTCATGGTGCATGCATGTGGCGTGAAAGTGGTTTAACGGAATACGCCACAGCAGCCTTTTTTATCCGTTTTCTTTCTCGATGCCTACAGCTGCTCGGTTCAATTTATGCTCTCCCAGAGCAGGGTTAAGTTTTAAATCACATCAGACTGTTTATCTTTCATGCAGGTCTGGAAGTGGTGGAATGGCCTAAGACACAGTGATTGATTTTTTCAGATAAAGCCCCTTAGGGTCACTTCTGAGTGTTTGTTGTCTTTGTTTATCCTTTCTAGGGGGCTGTTTGCAAGTAACTACACAGAAACCCATTACCTGGAAGATGGCAATCCGGTCACAGGCTCTCACAACTTCACGGTATGCTTTAAACAACTTTTTTTATTCTTTTTTTTTTTTCATTTTTTTTTTTTTTATCAAAGCCAACACAATAAACTTATGATCTTGAATCTGTGATGTTTTCTTCTTTATCACCCACCCAGCAGCTTTTATGAATATTGACCTTTTATGGGAGTCTTCCTCTTGTCGAGTTCTGCTTCATTGTGCTCCTATTAGGGTCAGTGAAGAAGTAAAGAAAAATTGATGTTGCGCATAGACCTACTTTTTTAAACCTCCTGGAAATGGACAGTCTTGCGCATAAAGAAGCCCGTGTAGGTGAGCGGGCCCATTTTCGTTGTCTGCCGGCAGATTCATATTTGATGAAATAAAAGGTGGACCGAGGTCACAGAACAGACTCAGTTTGAGGGAACGGCGCGAGTCTTTTATAATGGATAAGCCTAAAACTGTCCCAAAAAGTGGTTTGTCATGCAGGTCTGCAAGAAAAAAACTGAATTAGTGAACATCTACAGTACGTGCACTTCAGAAGTCACACTGAATGTGAAATATTCAGCACCTATCATTGCACTTAATGTGCCTTGTACTTGTACATTATATTAAGATTACACTTACTATCTTAAATATATCTGTAAAGTCTGTCAAATGACACTTTTGCCCCAAATCTTTAAATACAGATGTAGAGGGGTCACACAGAGACCTGCCGTGCACAGCTTTTGACCCCAGCTCCAACAGGCTGCGCTCTCATTCTTTTTTCTTTTTCATTATTGTTAATGAGTTCAATGCTTCCTGAATTGTATTTTTTTTTTCCAACTGCTCAAGTTAGGCATGTGGGCTTCTTCCAATTTCTTGTGATTTGCGTCACTATGAATGAATATTTCTCATCTTCATTAAGCTCTGCAGAAAATGTTCTGCTCTCAAATACAATGGGTCTTTGAAAACATCCTCCATAGATCCATAAATATCCCTCTCTTGAAGGGTATTTATGAATATTCTTCTCTTGAACGATGTTTTGGTTCAGAAACAACAAGGCTGTTTGGAAACAACATATGCAGCATACTGTAATGAATGCTGTGGCTGGATCATGTGGAACAGTTTCTATGCCTCAGAGCTTCCACCTGCTCGCCTGATTTCAGGGGTATGATTATCTGCAGTTTGGAAAGCAATTAAATGTCTCATTTTTGTTCAGATAACCAGAAAGCATAATAATAGACAGCCTGTGAGGTCTGTGTACACAAAATGCGTGGCCTACTTATGGCTGAAATCCACAAAAGAGGAGATTAATGTAATTCAATAATGGCCAACCCACACAGTAAAAAATGAACAATGTTTTCCACTTGAGACTGCTGTGAGACCGGAGCTGGACCATCGCTGGCTGGGCTCGGCCAGCTCATCAGAATTGCTGCCATTCCAGAGCGTGAAGACAATGAGGAAGTTGTAGCAGGTCAGCTCAGGGGTGGACTCTGACTCCGAGAATCAACATCTTAGATAGCTAACACATGGCGTGAATTGATGGTTAGATGGATGCATAAATATTGGACTGAAACTAATGGGTGATTTCGCCATCAAGAATAACTGATTAATCAGAAAGCCCCTCGCACTTGAGAGGCTTGAACCAGCAAATGTCTCATGTTTACATCAGCGATTTTGTGTCGTGCTCCACATTGATTAATCAACCAATCGGTTCTGCACTAGATAGATGGGTAGATTAGCTGTTGGATGGATGTACCAAATGATCCTCGGCAGTAACCTGGATCTACCTGCTCTGTGTCATACCAACCTGGGAACTAACTGACCTCCTCTCATTCCTCACTCATGACCACAGCCAGCTCTTCATGGGAGGGTCTTTTTTACTGGAAACAACCAGATCTTGAGAGAGTGATCCGTAGTTAATTTATTTGTCCTGCCGGCAGGGAGGAGACTGATATAGTGATCTGGGCAGGGGATCTAGAGGGTTCAGTTCTGTGTCAAAGGCAAGGTACTGCTGGGAGTGACTTCAACATGAGTCAGCCCTCCCTGCCTCCCTCCCTCGGTTCCCTCTGTCTGTTTTACATCCTCTCCCTTTCTCACTAAATCCGTCCATATATAATACAATAAATTAGTGCCATGTGCTGTAACAAAAGCCATCTACAGGGAATATGAATATCTAGCATGGATATTTAGGAGTTAACTTGAAATAATAAATGCATAGTTATGATAAACAATGTTCACACCCGGATTGCCTCCCTCAATAACCTGGGTATTAGTTATTAATCTTCCTTTTTTTTTCAAGATCCGAAGGCGTGAGCACTTTCCCATCTCATTTCTTTCTGCAAAAACCTTAGAAACAGAAAGTCTATTCCTATCCCTTATATCGATGCATCACAGTCATGATCTCATCAAAGAAACATGAGGTGGTAGCATTAACTCAGTGTAATAAAACCAGCCCTCTCCTCCCCACTGCACTAAAATTTCATATTTCATGTAATGGGCCGACGTGTCTTTGCACCTTTTTACCTCACTGTAATGGATTGTTCTCTTTCTGTACACCTCTAGGTGGAGATATGGAAAGTGGCCAAATAGGTGATTACTTGCAAGGTTTTGGGTTCACTTCTTGAATAAGATAAACATAAGTATGGATGAAAAAATGTGATCTCAGTGACTCTGACCATGTGGTGTGATTGTTGGTGCAACGATTTCTGAAACAACAGTTTGTTGAGTTGACTCAGAATGGTGCGAAAAGCATAAAATATCCAGTTCTGCAGACGGAAACACCTTGTTGATGAGAGAGGTCAGAGGAGAATGGCCAGACTGGCTAAGGTAACTCAGATAACCGCTCTTTACAGCTGTGGTAAGCAGTAAAGCATCTCAGAATGCACAACATGTTGAACCTTAAGGTGGATGGACTACAGCAGATGAGGCCACTGGTCTGGTTCCACTCCTGTCAGCCATGAACGGAAATCTGAGGCTGCAGTGGGCACAGGCTCACCGACACTGGACAGTTGAAGACCGGAAAAAATGTAGCCTGGCCCGATGAATCTGGATTTCTGCTGAGGCAGCAGATGGTAGGAACAGAATTTGGCATCAAAAGCATGAATCCATGGACCCAACCTGTCCGTGGTTTAGTCAGTACAAGTGACCCATCTCACATTACACTTAGTCATTTGATCCATTTTTGACATAAAAATACTGATTAAAGCAGCTGTAAATATTAAGTTATGGAAGGATGAAGGATTATTTAAGAATTCAGACTTGAGAAAATGCTATTAAACCTCAACCTTATTTGGGTAGTAAGACTGAAAGACACTGTTTACCAGTGCTGCTTTAACAAGCTCATGACAGAAGTGGGGGAAAAAAAACATTAATTGGATTATCAGTTTTATTGCAGAATTACTAGGAAGAAGTACCGTGATGCAAGATTAAGCAAGGATTCCCTTTAATTCCAGAAACACATCCAGACCATGAATGTGCAAAATCAGCAGTCTCTGGAGGTTAGCCACGTTGAAGGAGGCTGGACATTGAAATTTACTGCCTGCGCTCTATATTTAGAGGCAGTCAAAGAGGGGTGGAAAACTCACATTTCCTTGTTTTGCAGAACAGGGTGGCGGAGGGGCCGCTATAGGCAGACCTCACCTGAGCAAGGTTGTCTGACTGTAGGAGAAGGACTGTTTTCACTCCAAACCAGACACTTCCTCCCCACCCTCTTCGCTGCCAGGCCTGGTTCAATAAACATGGGTTTAATTCACTTTCGTTACTCCCTGCTACAGCTTGACAGGTGGTCCATGAAAGCGGGTACCTGGGAATGCAGCAGCAAGCAAAGATTGAGCTGGGAAATGTGAAACTCGCACAGATTTCAGCCATCATTAGCCTGTGGTGATGAGTGGGAATGGCTCCTGCTAACCCTGCAAAAAGCTATTCCCCCAGAGTTAATTTGCTCATATTTCACAGTTATCAGCTGGGACTGGTGTTGTTGAACTGTGTTTAAACCTGAACAGGTTTTTTTTTTTTTTCCACATTAGTTCCATTCTTCTCGTCTTGAATTTTAAATCTTGAAGTCTTTTTGTTTATATTTCCGCAGGCAAACTGCTACTACCACGGTGAGGTCGAGGGTCATGTCAACTCGGACGTCAGCCTCAGTACCTGTGCTGGGATTAAGTAAGTGTGTCAGACGCTCATTTTTAAAACACTACAGAAGCAACCAGGAAGGAAGCCCAAAGCCAAAGCTTTATTTCACCGACTCTCCCTGCTGTGGTGAGGACAGAGCAATGAATGCAATTGATACCAGAAGTGTTTTCAAGTCTTTTGGACAAGTTCAGGTTGAGTTCAAGTCAAATTGCATATCATTCAAGACAAGTCCACGTCAAGTCGCAAGTCTTCACAAGCAAATTAGAAATCAAGATACAAGTCTTAATCAATTTTGTTGGTTCAGGATTTTACCTTTTATTTTAAATAAATATGACTGCTTTTAAGTCTCAAATGAGCTTCTTTCCAGTCAGGTCCAAGTCAGTTATCATTGTCTCGGATTGGAAAGAGACACAGGCTTAGCAAACGTATTTGGAAGAGAAAATTAAGGTGAACAGGAAAATTTCTTACCAGGCTGTGTTATATTAACTTCCATAACAGTTTTCAGAACCAACTTCCTTCATTCAATTTTGGCCCACCTTGATTGCCATAGTTTTCAGGTGCTCAGTTTTTGTCTAACATCAAAATAAAGTTGCTCAGATTTTCAACAGGACTCAGTAAATAATGTTTTTTTTTTCCTGTACTAATAAGCTGAGATGACATCCTGTATATACTACTGAAGAGCAGCAGGCTAAAGTTGATATGCTGTAAGGCTTTAGACGTTGGAAAACACTGTATTTGCAGATGTCAGACAGGAGTAATGATTTCGGTAATATCACTAGACACCATCAGGAATGTTTTCACGAACCAGCCAAACCCTCTGCAGAGTGATTCGCCTGATTGTGAAGCCCTTGGTGTTGACCTTGGTCTTCATATTTATTTATTTATTTATTTATTTATTTACCTCAGTTTTTCTGCAACCTGTCTGCACAACGTCAGATGCACGGAACTTATTTTGACACAGCTACACATCGCTTGGCCTGCTCGCCGAGACAAATTGTTTTTGGTTTGCATTGGCAGCGCTTGTGCTTTTGGGGGAGTTTAGTATGAGCTCATGTGGTTGTGAATATTGTGCAAGTTTTGTGAGAATCTCAGAGTTTATTCAGACTCAGTGCATGGGGATGTCATTTTAAATCACGGAGGCCACTGTTAAATCATGAGAAAAGTTAGGAAAGAGGAAACAATGGCCACAACAATGGAAAAACTAAGAGATACTACTACTCTTTAAGCAGAATGTCTGCCAAGTGCTAATTCAAGTGGTAGCCACTATTATTCCACTGCATGATACTGACTGAGGAGTGCACTCATCACTGATGATGTATCCTCTTCTCTGGTTATATTAGGACATCGCACATAAATCACGATCACTTTTATATCAAAATTAACATTCTAGTTTCTTTACCGCATATCTGATATGTTTCACTGAAATTCCAGTATTTGAATTATGCAAAAATAAATAAATGAATATAACGCCGCACTTCTTCTAATATCTGAGGGTTCCTTCCATGCACTTCCTCTTGTGTCTGCAGGGGTTTCATCTCTATTGAAGGCAAATCGTATGTACTGGAACCATCTGCTGATCACTCTGATGGCACTCACTGGATCTACACAGCAGAACACCTCAATTTTGCTCCTGGCACCTGTGGACACGATTTCAACATATCTTATCCCATTGAACACGCAGACAGCAGCCCGTTCAAGGCTTTCAGCACAAGGGTAAGGATTATAATGCTGTATTCAACTTTACCTTGAGGTACAGATAAACTTTGGCTATACTGACGCTGTGATTTGCAAGATTTCTGCCTCCATTTCCAAGTCGACAGTAGAGAGATGACGGGAAATGGGATGCGGAGTGACATGTAACAGAGGTCCTTGGCTGCACTCGAACCACTTTAGTTTTGCCTAATGTTTGGCCATCAGAGCACCAGCTGTCTTTCTTTTTTTCTTTTTTTTTTATTTACAAATCACCAACGTTTGCCACTTAAACTCAAGGTTCTGCTAGCACTCGTTGGTAGAACAGAGAGAAAAGATTTCAAAAATCTTTTACTGTATGTAATTGAGCAAGTTAATGATTACAAACCCTGAGAACGTTCGACCTCACAAGATCTTCAACAGGTCAAATTGATCAAACTTTCACTGTTAACAGTCCATTGGAAGTGTATCAATGAGCCCTGCATCTATAAACAGTGAGAATTGTCTTAAAATCCTTCAGTGTCTGTTGCTCCACCACTTCGGTCCTGACTGAAATGCATCAACACTTGGATGGATTTCCTTGGCATGAAATTTTGCAGAGGCATTTATGGTTCCCAGAGCATGAATCCTAATGACTTGATTGGGCTAATGACTTGGTGATATCCTGGCTTTCTCTCCAGCGACACCACGAGGCTTTAAGTGACATATCTCAGTTATTGGTTGGATTTCCATGGAATTTGGTACAGAAGAACTGAATGACCCTCTGACATGTCATGTAGCGCCATTATCATTTAACAAACAGCCAGAGTGAAAAATGTTCGTACCACTTGGTTGTCAGTTTAGAAAATGCTTTCCTGTAGTTGATATTTCTTAATCTAATTTGTATTTGGATTCCGGCTGCACAGAATCTAAAACATCACTAACCTCAACACCCTTTTAAAAAAAAAAAAAAAAAAAAAAAAAAAAAAAATCATTTGCAATGTAGATATTGGTAAGTGGGCTGTATATCTTTTAGAAGCTACTACTTGTTGAATTATTCACTCATTCCTTCCATCTGATCTGACGGTGTCCATTAGTGATCTCGAGTGTATGGAGAGCGGGGGTTGATGAACGCCTGTGGAAAGTACATTGGCTGTTAAGTGGCAACATTTGCTCCGAACGCCAGATCAGACTGCAGGCTTGTAGATCAAGCCTCAAGCAGGACCTGTCCATCCAGAATTAAACAGATTGCTTTTGAGAAACTCCCATCCTACACCCTGCACTTGGCCTCTTACTACCCCACTGCTCATAGGGATAAATCATAAGGGCCATGGTCCTTGGGAGTCTCTACCCTCAGAGGAATTGGGCTTTAAAGATGATGAGCAGTGTTAAGTGGAAAACACAGGCTCTATACTGATCTCTATCTTAGAGGCGAAGGATGGCAGGAGCGGACGAACACGAGTGATTTATCAGGTATAATATAAAGAGACACAGAGATAGGTGGTGTAAAAGATGAAGCATATGTTCCAGGACCCAAAAGGAGGGAAAGCACACATATCATAATAGTGATTCAGCATAAATGTGAGGGACTTTCCATTTTCTTAAAACTGATTTTTATTTTTTTGCGATTGTTTAATCATTTCATTAAGGCTACATTGAGATTGAGTGTGTTTTTGGGAAGCAGGCCGAACATATGGTGGTGCTGGCCCTTTCACATTATTAGTTTTTATTTATTCATGCAGTAATAGGGATTTTCCTGGTGTTTTTTTATTGTACTGTTTGATTCCTGTTGGTGATTACAGTGCTGGCTTCAATGGCAACTATTGTCTTTGGTGTTAAGAGGGCTGCAAAGACTCGGCAGACGCGAACAAATCCTGACAACAGCACAATGCAGAAGTTTCCCACCTGACAGAAACAGAAGGGGAATGAGATAAGAAAAAAAGACACGAGGCTTATATTGATGATTTATACCAGTGAGTAAAGTAGGGTTTAATTCTCCTCCAGAAGAGGTTTTTTTTTCAGTGTATTTTAATATGTTTTATCTGATCACAGTGTCCCCTTTCATTTGTTTAAAATACTACGTCTCTTCCCCTTCTAACACAGCAAGAGATAGCAGAGTTAGAAGAGAAAATATCTCTGCTAAGTGAAGACAGATGTGGTTCATAAGGGAGGTGGTCAAACATGGTAATCCCGTAGGTGATTAAAAAAAGTGAAAACAGATAAGATAGTGAAGGATATTTTCAAAAAGTTGCCGTAGCAAAGAGGAGGTAAAGCCAAAAAGTAAGAACCTAGTCAGATTTGCTGGACTTGGTGCCCTGCATGCACCTCAGCTTGGTACGCAAGGGCACCGAGGTGTGCTGCTGCTTTGATAAGCTGCGATGTGCCCTGCTTGAGGGCCTAAAGATAAAGAGGCGGTGTTGGCAGAGTGCCCCTGGATGATGAGAGTCAGATGGGGTAGAGAAGGGTATAGAGATATGATGGCTAGCTGACAGGAACTACACATCAACAACTTGAGTTCCTGCAAAATCTCTATTGTCACAAGATGAAAATGTGCTGTGCGAGATGTCAAACCTCAACACAGCATGCAATGGCATTTCGAGAGTGACTTGTCTTCCATGGTTGAAAGAGAGTATCGGGCCAGAACATAATATGGATTGAAATAGCTCGGAAGAGTTGGATGTGAGCCTAAACTGAGTAGCAATTGAGCATGGGGGGGGGGGGGGTTCATTGTGTGATGTGTATTGATGTAGTAAAGAGAATCTAATCACGGAGCTCCATTATTCACTTTTCATCTTCATCCACACCTGAGCCGGACACCTTTTTGTTTAGTGAAGACTGTGAGATGTGGTTGAAAGCTCTGAAATTCTTTTCACCATATAAATTGTAGAAAAAACACTGGGCTGAACTAATTGAAGAAGAGGAATACTTTTTTGTTCTTGTTTGCCATTTATGTAAAGTTGAAGCTTTGAATGTTAGGATTTGTTCAAAAATATCTCAAGATATTAATTGTAGATTATATATTTTCCATTTTGCGCTGGTATTTTCTGTTTTATAAAAACGGTAAAATACATGTGTTAAATTACGTGTCTGGAATTCACACACATAGCTCTCAGTCTATTGAAGAGTAGGGATACTCTTCACGGTGTTGACTGAACATAGTGTTTACGTGTGCACCTCCTCTCCGGTGGCCTCCTCGAGACTTGGTAATCACCATAGGGTGCATTTAGAGCACACTTGCCCATCCTGGCTTATCTATGGAGGAGGCAGATAAGAGCAGAGAGGATCCAGGCTGCCAGGCCAGCAAGGATAAAGAGGCTCAGATTGAAAGAGCGCCATGGTGTGAAGGCAGAACACTTAGCCAGCAGGATAGTATAGGATCTGTGAGTGTGTGAGTGGAAAGAGCGAGCTTGCGTGTGCATTGTGTGTGTGCATGCGTTTGTGTGTGTGTGTGTGTGTGTGTAAGTGTGTGCAGGTGAAACAGCGTGATGTGTGGGCTGCATTTGTCTTTGTATGGAAATGCCCTCCTGCATATCAGTATTGTCTCCATACTCTCTACCTACTTTGGTTTATCACCAAATACTTGCAAAAGTAATGGCATTCCCATCAGCCTCAGCTGTATTTGTGTCTGGTGCTGGCAATGGTTAGCATGCTAACATGTTAAACTTAAGATGGCTAACTTGAAAAACATTATATCTGCTTCACGTCATTAGCATTTAGCTCAAAACGTTACTTTCCACATCTATGTACCACATACACTCAAAGACACAGACGCAGACCTTTTCCTTTACCTATTACCTATTTAAATGACATCTGATAATTCCTTACACCTGATTCCTCTTACCCGTTCAAAAGTGGTTTCACTGTGTCAAGTCTTTGACCCTGAACACCAACGGAGATTAATGTAAAAACTTTAAAAGATTTTAAAAACGCTAAATTTTCAATGAGAACAAATCCGGCTTCCGTTCGGACATATGCTCACTGGTCCACACTCCACTGTGTAAGTGTGATGGTAGAGTCAAGCGCTCTTTATAGAGGGTGCAATATACTGTGTGCCAACAGAGCTTGCACCATTGTCCAAAACAGTGATTTATTAGTTAATAAGCCGGTTCCTGTAGAGTGTTATCAGAGGTTTGTGCGACCTTAGTGGCTCTTATTGGGTCAGGCAGGATGAGTAGCTGATTGCTTTGTGCTGATTCTCACTTCTGCCTTTTGTGTAGAGTGCAGCTCAGGTAAAAAGCCATATTGAGCAGCCACCTGCTAAATTTAGGCTGCTCTTTCCAAAAAAGCTGCGGTTAAGTGCGTCCTACTAATGTCCTTCCTCTTCTCCCTCTCTACTCTCTTCTCCTCCTCCTCTCTCTTCATTTCTTGGTTTATCACTCTGTCATTTCCACCCTCTGTTCCCTCTCCCATTAACCCCCCCCCCCCCCCTTGTATTCTTCTTGTATTGTTTTTCCTTCACACCCACCTAATCCCTGTCCAATCCTCTTCACAGCACAAACGCCATGCCCAGACTACGACCAAATATGTGGAGCTGATCATCGTGGCTGACAACAGAGAGGTAAGCAAAGGTCACGCGGTCTCACCCTCTCCTCCCTCTGCTGCCAAATCCCACGGGAAAGGGGCTCAGAGGTCAGACGCTTAGCTGCCGCTCTATCCCCTTGAGACGCAGATATGGTGGATGGCTCTAGCCCCGCTTTGCTGTTGCCCCCTGATGTGTCTGCTTACTCATCCATTTCACTGTCCGACTCCAGCTACATCCCTCTGCATAGATCATTTGGCCACTTGACTTACAAATGAGACTTTCCCATTATGTGCACCCTGAATTATCTCAAATCTCAGACTTAAGATCTTAGAGAGGGCTGGGAGAAGAAAGTGGTCCTCATCGACATGAGGCCTATAGGTCTGTGTCACATGCTTTAGAGCCTGAGAGACTGAATAAATGTCGGATTTAAGACAAGGTGGCTGAGGTTATCTCTTTAGCCTAAGCTCCACTGAGGAGCTCTTTGATGATAGCAGCTATGGCAGAAGCGCCAGTGGAATTAACGTGATAGCGACTGTAGCACAGCTCCAAGACACCCTGTGGAGAACTTTCTGGAGCTGACACAGTGTTAATTTGTCCCAAGTAACGTCTTTGGTGTTAATCAACATTCAGAGTGAATGGATCACCTCTTTCTCTATCTGCCTCATTCTGTATGGTTGTATTGTTGCAGTTTCAGAAGCAAGGCAAGGACATGGAGAAGGTCAAGCAGCGGCTGGCTGAGATCGCCAATTATGTGGACAAGGTAACAATCAAATCAACAGAGGGAATGTGGTGTTGGAACGTGATTTATTAGAGGTCACATCAAGCCTGGTGAGAATTAACCAACCTGTGAGCAGAGGCTGATTAGATTATGAATGGATGATCAATTCCATAACTCGGATGAGCAATGTTGTGAAGAGTCCACTGTAATAAAACATGCCTTGGCTGGTGGTTTAATGAAAGACAAGCAAAAGATGATTCATTCATATGGAAAGCTGTATGCTGATTAATGTTCAAGGATTTATTCAGAGTCCCTCATCATTTGTAAGCGATTATTTAAAACCGTTTGTGGTTTTAATAAGTAATGCAAAGTGAAGAGAGTAACAGAAATGATAAGAGAAACAGATCTGAAGCCCTTGGCCTGAATCCACTTCTCTTTTCTTACCTGCTATACACCTCTCCTCATTTTAACCCTCAGTTCTACAGGGCTTTGAATATCCGAGTGGCTCTGGTGGGCTTGGAGGTGTGGAGTGACGTGGACAAGTGTCCCGTCACCCAAGACCCTTTCACCACGTTGCATGAGTTCCTAGACTGGAGGAAGGTCAAGCTGCTGCCTCAGAAACCACATGACAATGCCCAGCTCATCAGGTATATCTCTTCTTGTAGCATCCACATGAAGCCTAATAGCGGTGTTTCAAATAGAGGAATCCGCTGTTTGAAAGTTTGGGATTTATTCTAAAATTATTGACGACACAAAATTAGAAAAAAAACTATGTGCAAAAACTAGTCTTTTGTTTTTCTTTATTACAGGCAAAATTGAATATGTTTTGTAGTATTACTGCTGTTTGTTTTTCTTTTGAGTTACCCTCAAATGTATCCTGCAGTGCAGATTTTTCATTACCAACAGAAACTGTTTTGTTTCAAAAGCAGTTTAATTTCCTACCTCATAAAACATTTGTAACCTTTTTTGAGACGCACATCTTTCTTGGAAAAAAAAATCATTGTATCTTGGTTTAAATGAAAAAGTGTTTAAGGTTTGCTATCAAGAAAAATGTATATAGCTTTGCGGAGAGACTACATTTTTTTTCGTTAACATATGCTGGCGGAACAAATGCTAGCAAGGGGATATGATAGTATACACCATTTTCATAACTAATTTTCAACTAATTTTCAATCAAAGTACTGAGATAAATGCTAGTGGAACAGAGGATAACAATGAGTAAATGGCAAAGTTGGTCTGTTGGTCAGTTTGAAATGCTAATCTAACTCTAGCACTAAGTGGCTCCTGGGGGCCTTTACCTTGACAGTTGAAATGCGGGGACGTATTGTATGCCGATGATTTGATAACCTCTGTTTTTTTTTCCTTTTTAGTGGGGTGTATTTTCAGGGCACCACCATTGGTATGGCACCTATCATGAGCATGTGCACAGCAGAGCAATCAGGAGGAATCGTCATGGTACGTGAATGGGCTTCAGCATGCTCAGATGCTTTTACACCATCTTGAAGCCAAGCAAAGCAAAATAAATATTTGTTGTGTTGTGATGCTAACTTCTAGAGAGGAAACCAGACTTATTTTATCCTTTCATTCTTCCTCCTCCTGCCCTCTACTCTTGCCCTTGTTCTCCACCTCCCTCCTGCCTGACATAATACTCTCATATTTCTCCCCTGAGTCTCTTGTGTAAGGGTTGAGCTAAGGATTCCAGAGTTGATATTAACCAGTATTAACTTCAGTGCACACACATCACTGAGTCTTTTTCCGGGAAGGCTAAATGGTGGGTATGCATAATACCCTCCACATTGTACTGATAAATCAGAAACTGTATTGATTACAGGAATGGAAACCTTTGCTTCCTAATGAGGTGCAACAAATGAGAGAATTTAAGGGTACAGCATATCGTTGCCTGAATGAAAACGCAGGGGCGTGTTGTAAATGATGACCCATTACAGAACTGCAACCCTATACTATGTGCACAAGTCATGTTGCATTAGTGCATGTCATGCTATTATTTTATACTCTCTGCCTCTGAGTGGCTATTTGTCTTGGGGTCTGGCAGGCTGATGGCTAGGTTTACAGCTAGTCCCCAGATGGTTCTTCACTCTTGTCCTCCCAGATGGTAAAGTGGAGACTTGGTCATTATCATAAAACTCTACGTACACAAATCCATCAGGTCATAGACATAAAGGATCCGTCTCAAACCGCAGACTCTTCTGCTGGGCAAATCACGACCCTGTTGTCTTCGTTGTCTCCCTTCGTTTACAGAGTACCTTTGAACTCATTAGTTGACTTCCCCTATGGGTCTAATTGTTATTTTTCTAGGCAGTTAAATCTTAAACACCCATTTTCAGACCATCTGGAATCTCCATTTACCAGCCCTGAATGTTACATTAATTTCATTGGTGTGGTGGAACAAAACAGACAGTGCCCTCTTGAGCACTTCAGCTTCATCACTTACTAAAGGTGTCTGGGTTTTTCCAGGAAACAGAATCAGAGTTTGTTTTTTGTTTTTTTTCTGCATGAATTCAGTCTGCACAGTTGGATCTCAGCAGGCGCTGACAGTTGATGACCGTTACTTTCAAAACCCCCCAGCAGAGCAGTTCATCAGTCTGAGCTCAACTTGCACAGCACTGCTGAATAATGCACAGTGACGGAAGACTCCAGAGGCAAGGTGCTCTGACGCACAGCTCTGCATCCATGAAGAGCTGATAGCTGATGCCGCTACATTATTTATCCAGCCTCTTCATGTGTCCGTGTTTTACACACCTTGCAGGAAATCTCGGTACCTCAGCCAGCAGCAGCTTTCATTCCGTGTGTCACTCTTGCTTCATCTTCACACTGTTTTTAATATCTGTCTTCTTTAACCTGATTGGCTGTGTGATTTTCAAGCTGTCCTTTGAGGCTTTTTCCTCAATCTTTCGGCCGATTTTTCTGGTACTCAGAGGAGGTTCATGACTTTATTTGTGAGGATGAAACAGCACATCTGGCTGTGTCGGAGTTTGCACAGCAAGCTGAAGGTGACAGCCCGCAGTCTGCTTTTTCATTTCTCATTTCAGTGCCACAACGTTGAGCGGTGGAAACGCTCTGATAAGCACAGATCCAACAGCATTGTTTGTAATCTTGGCAATATGCAATTACACTCACTTGTTTTGGGTAATGTTTCTCCAGTGGGTCCTGTGGGGAACAGCAATTTGGCTAACATAACATTTTTTATTATTTGTTATTTTCCTCAGAGTATGTTATCAGAAATGTCCTGGTTTAATTAGCTATTGTTTGCTGCAACAGAACTGTAAACTGAGCAAATCTTATAATGGGACATTGCTTGTATCATCATTTAAAGCCTTGAAATATACTCAACAAATTAGACTCATCAAAGTAAAGAGGTTTTAGATTAAATAGTGTGATGAAATTTCAAGCTCAGTTTCTCCATGATTGATCTCCTTTTTTTTTTTTTTTTTTTTTTTTTTTTTGTGTAGGACCATTCAGACAACCCCCTGGGCGCTGCGGTCACTCTGGCCCATGAGCTCGGACACAACTTTGGAATGAACCACGACACGCCAGAAAGGGGGTGTGGCTGCAGGGTGACAGTGGATCGCGGAGGCTGTATCATGACTCCCTCCACCGGGTGAGTCACAGCGTCTATTAATTAATAGTCAATAGATATACAAGATAGCTGACTCCTTACTCCTTACTGCAATATCCAGGATTGCAGGAGGTTTATTTCATCTCATTTGCTATAATTCACCGTTTCAGTGCACTCCAGTGGGGGACCCTTTTGGTTTGGCTTTACAAAATCCAACACCACCTGAAATACATCATCCTGATGTCAAGCCATTATTAACTTTAAATCAAGTTTGTCACTTATTAAATATAGCAAGTATTGCTCAAAAAGCCCAGATTGTGATCATGTGTAAACATTATTCCAAATGCTATCCATTTGTAATTTATTGTCTGTAGAGCAGTAAGCAAATGATGCCGTTGAAGTGTTGGGCCGTTGGGTTTATGGCAGACTGAACAGCTGTGCTAATGCCTGGAGGCAATATGACTCATTCTCAATAGGAAGCTAATGGTTCAGTGGCAGTGCATGGCCCAAACAGCAGAGTTCCACTTAAACCAACGCAATGTAGCTGATCTTCAGTAGACTAAAGAAAACAGTGCGGAAAGTGTATATTGCACATGCGAGACACATCTAACAACATATCAAGTCTGAGGTGTAGTTATTGGATAATTGCTCACCATGGATTGTAATGTTTCATGTCTGACATCTTGTTGTAGACTGAGCAGAGAGGGGAAAAAGGATGTTCTGGGTGGAAACATTGGGTATCAGTTCCAGCCAAGGTCTAGTGGTGTGTGGGAGCCTCAGACTGGTGTTTATGCTGGAAACATCTCCCCGTATTTGGGTTGGACCAGATTCATGAAAAACAGGGTAACACTATTCTTGATTATAGACTTATAAAACAACACACTAAGATGTAGATTTATATTTAACTCTGATTGAGGGTATCCCTGGTCAAGGACTTTGTCCAAAAATGGCAATACAATCAACACACAAAAAAAGAGAAAAAAAATTGTTGAAGTAGAAACAAAATGGTTTTGTCTTCCCAGCTTTCTGCTACTCCTGTCTCTTTCTGGCTGTTTCCTTTTCTTCCATATGCACAGCCAGTTAGAGTGATGCTATTCTTTGACATACATGCAACTTTAATGTTGGAAAATCTCTCAGCAGCTCCAAATAAATAGTTAAATACATCTGAACACTGTCCATTATACAGTTTTTATGTTGGGAAAACTTATCACCTTGCCCTTAAAATATCTGAATCTGAAGTTGTACGCAGCAGTGACAAACATCTCTAAATGTGAAGGAATGTTTGTACTGAACATAGACTAGTGAGAAATAAAATAAGACATGAATATTTAGTTTCGTGTTCTGCTCTCCACAGAGACTGTGTAGGCTTTTTTTTTTCATTCCAGCTGACAAAAGAAAGAAATGATCTACTTCTAGTTGATTTCAAAATAATCCCCTCTACACCTCTTTATTGCTCCATATTGCTGCTCTGCTATTTAATCCATGATTAAGGAAGCAATACATTTAAATAAGGATGTTTAGGAACTCTATATTCCCTCATACTGCTTCCTCAGTTAATTCCAGCTCAGCAACTTATACTCTGCCTGAGGCAGTACTACATCTCCCATAGGTCCAGCCCCCTCGCAGATCCATACCTTAAAACACCATGAGGCCACACACAGGCTCTGCTCCAAACACCTTAATGTTGTTCGTCACCTGGCAGCTACAGTTATTTGTTTATAACATCGACTAACATGTTTTTCTAGACAGGCGACCGGCTCTTTTCAAAGCATAATGTAATTATACAGAATGGCTCCTCACAAGGCTAAGACTTAAATGAGTTGGTACAAAAGCCCCACTGCATTCAGTAATTGAAAGTACTGAAAAAAACACTTGCCTGCACTCAGTCAGTGAGAAATACCTGTTTTGTTTTTGTTGTTTTTATTGATCTTTTATTTTCATCAAATAGAATTTCTTCATTGTCACCGTTGTGAATAAACAGATCCCCATCCAGCTCTCGTGGACTTGCTGTGGCTTCACAAACTGAGCGGAGGAGATAATGAGATCTAGTTCATCATTATTATACTGGGGTTTGGGGTTAGGGGTAGGGGGTAGGGGGTAGGGGGGTGGGCAGTAAAACTGTAAGCTGTCCCAAGGCCAGCTGCACATCTGCATAGAGCACTGCTTGTTTCCTGCTCACACTGGTCATGGCCAATTTTCGTGTCGTCCCCCCCTCCATCCATCCATCTCTATCCCTCCATTAGTTCTAAATGAGAACAGGCTGGTGTGTCTCATCCTTTGAGATTATATCTCCTGAAAACACACACAAAAACAGGAACACACACGCGCCGCAACTGAGCTGCTGCTTGCTACTCCATGGACACAGGAACATGCATATGTGCAGAAACATATAAATTACAAATCCATTTCTCTAAGAGACTAAAACAGGGTTCTGTGCTTGGTTCACTTTCATTTCCATTTGTGCCCCATCTTTAGGTTTGATGGTCTGCTTCAAGACTGCACTTATATTGTGCTTTTCTAGTCTTGTCAGTCACTCAAAGTGCTTTACAATACTTGCCACATTCACCCATTCACTCAAAAATTCATAGCCACGCCAGTACACCAATGGAACAGCCATTAGGGGCAAACTGGTGGAGCCGTGGATCAAACCACTGAACTTCTGATTAGTGGGCGACCCACATCAACTAAGTTTGCCTGTTTTAAGATATTCTGAGAAAACTGACAAAACACCAGTGTGAAAGCCCCGGAAATGATTTACCAGACTTGTATCATGGAGCTGCTCTCCAGTTGTATGCAGACAATATTCTCATTTATGTCGTCTATTTGCACAAAAAGTTGTGAAAATGTTGAAACATTTACACAGAAAAGTTTGAGTATTTACTTTGTAATGCTAATGTATTTAAGTAGTTATAAAGTTAAACATTTGTTCCAAATTCCATGATATATGATATGTATATCACATGTATATTTTCTTGTTAAAATATCCACAAACGAACACGGCACTTGCCATTTACATCAGTCACACAAGCAGAGCTGTTGATGGACAGATCCAGGATGCTTTATTCAGGCAGCGTTCATTTGCGCATGCGTCAGGTCCTGAGTAAGATGATGACTCTGGCACACTATCACAGAGACTTATGCATTTCCAGTGTCATAAAATAATCAGGCATCGCAGAAAGTGAGTCAGAGTCCAATGCATGCCATGGAAATATGACCCGTGCCCTGCTGAAGAACAGGAAATCTCTAGTATGGCTTGTTTAATTGGTTCCATGGGGAAATCAATGTGAAAATGCTTTTCAGTATCTACAATGTAGGACAGACTGCCAGGCACCAAAGGCCATAGCAGATCATATCACCTAATGTCATCGCTCAGAGCTCGGGCTCTATGTGCACAAAGGAAGCTGTAAAATTAATATTAAATGTGTAGTGAAGCAAGTATGAAATATTTGTCATAGTCACAGTTGTCACAGTCAGGTTTGAATTAGCTTTTTACTTCACATGCATGCCAGAAGATCAGATCTTCCAAAATGTAATAAAACTGTGATAACAAAATGAATATTGGGTCACGGTGAGTATTTGCACATTTTATATTTTCTCTGAAAGCGTTCTCACTGTTTCAAGGATGGTGGAAAATGTTTTGGCAGATGCGTCATTGGAAAAGCTCAGCAGACCTGATTAATAGCCTGATCAGTGTTTTATGGCTGAATAGATGTGACATAAACTGGCTGTGTAGGACATGCTGGATGGGTTTCCCGGTGCTCTCTGTGATGTGAACCACAAGGACAGACAGGCGAAGAGGAGAGAGCCCTGCCCAGCTCAATGTGGGCTGAAGGGTTCTGTGTCTTTTAATGTGATACTTTGCCCTCAGAGTATTCTGGTCACTGGTGAAATAAAGTTTGGATTTATGGTCATAGTCTGCAGCAAAGTCATACTTCAATGTGACCTTCACGTGTTGGTCATGTAACATTTTAACAAGAAATGCAGGCCGACTGGACTGACAGCTCCCAATAAATTTCATTTTTAATGGTGTAAACTTTTGATCTAACAGAAATATTATACCTCATTTTAGTTTGTTGAAGTTTTTTTTTGTTAACTTACCACATAATTGAACATGAGTGACCCCAAGCAAAGAAAGTATAAAACTGCACAAAGTTATTGAGAAAAAAATAATTTTCTCCGGTCGAATCATTGAATCATCTTGAAAAAAAAAAAAATTAGATTGACAAGACCGGTCAAAGAGCAGGACAAAGGAATATAGAGACAGAACAAAAGAAACTGAGCCAAAAGAAATTTATGTTTTTTTTTTTTTTTTTGGTTGTGAACTGCCAGAGATTCCATTTAATCCGTTGTTTATGCCGTTACTGATGATTCCACAAAAAAACCTGGGTTACCTGTCACAGTCCATCTACCCCCTTGTTGTTGAAGCGGAGATGTTTTGAAAGACTCCAGCTCTGTCGTGTTATCAGAATGAGGAGGAGATCATTGGGGCCTGTAATAGATCTGGAAATGATTCCTTATCACCAGACCTCCCACTGATCCAGTCAAGCCTTGTTTGGCCATTGCTGCAGCTTAGTGGTAGTGATTGCTTTGTACACTCTATCAACCATCAACTGCAGTACCTCTCTGAGGCTTAGGAGCCAACTGTCAAACACTGACTGGAGGTTAGAGACGAACAAAAGAACACAGAAGGGAGAAGGATTGATCCCGTAATGGAACTGGAGCATGACCAGGTGGAAAACAATGCGGCAGTGTGAGACAGAACAAAGAGCAGTCTAAGAGAGCAGGCAGAGGTGAACACGGCTCATCCTTTGTAAAAAAAAAAGAAAAACCAGAACAAGATGAGAAGGAGCCTGAAGGTCAAAGAGTCACACGGGGTCTTTTCTTTTGAGATGGTGGCCCAGACTCTCATGGGATGAGTGGTTGTCTCGAGTGTCTTGGGTTCACCATGAGCCCCAGATGTGCGCACCGTGACTGGCCCTGGCGCTGCTTTACTAGCCTTGGGGACTGCAGCTGCTAAATGCCATCGACTGTAATTCATCTGTGCCTCTGCCTTTTCACAGCCATTATTCCTCCTCCCACCCCCAGACTGTTGCAGAGTAGACCAATTATTTCTGTATTGCCTCTCATAAAGAACAGCTGGATCCTGAGCCGCTCATGTATCTCGGAGTTAACCAAAAAAAAAAAAAAAACAAGAATGTGAGTGTTTGTCATGCATTGCATGGTCTGGTAACTGAAGAGCAGGGCTGAGTTCATGGAAATTGAATGAATGCAGCAAAAGAGCGGGTACAACTTAAGCAAGCAATTTTGGCTCGTGCTTTGGGGGCAAAGAGGAAATCAACAACAGCAGTTGCTAAGGAAGTGGCCTGCCTGTTGCACAGCAGCCTTGACAGCTGTTCATCAGGGCAGGATCCCCTGAGGTGCTCAGACAGGAGGAGCAGAAAAATAGGGCACAATTATGGCTGTTATTACAGCTTTCCTCGTTGCTCTTTCCTTTTTGCCATTTCATCTCACTACAAATCCACTGAGACCTTTTGCTTTAATCCGGAGCGACTAGAGATCTGCTTCGTGGTACCCAACTTTCACCTAACACAACCTCTGGATAGTGTTGACGTTAGAGAGCAGCCGGCTGTGTGTTCGGGGGTAGGTTGGGGGTGGGGGAAGAGGGGGGGTCAGCAGCAGGAGCTGATGTAAGCCGCCTCCCACACATGACAGAAATCAAAGGCAAGCCGAGAATGAGGTCATGTCAAAACATTCACAGAGTGTCATGACATATTTAGAGCCGTATTACATGTGAAACCCAATCAGAGAAAAACACAGTTTGAAAGAGTTGTCGACATTGAGCCACAAAGAAAATGCCTCCTTCTCGGAAAGGAGAAATTCAACATTGAGATTGTGGCTATTTTACAGCTTTTGTATCAATACAGCCAATGGGTCTCGAGTTCAAGGCTCGGCTTCATAGTTGAAAACAAATTGACAGCTCCACCACATTTAAAAGTTGTTTTTCACTCGTATAAACACCTCAGTGAGTTGCATTCATCGGGGAGCCAAGGACCATTTCATGACTGTGGTACTCCTTGATGCCACAGCAGCTCAGGCTGAATATGAACTGGCTCTTATTTACAATCTCTTCTGGGAAAACTCTTATTGAAAGATTTGTAGATAATACCAGCCCTGCTACAACAGTGACGTGTTTGCTGTCCTTTCACCACTGTCATTTTCTACACCAGAAAGACTTCACAAGCTAACTAGCCAATTTCCCGTGCTGTCATTTTGGAAAATACATTATGCACTGAAGATATAGAATGTGTTTGTTTTACTCTGTTGACACTTTGCTTATCTGGACTTCCCTTTCTCCTGACATCCACCTGTTGGATGCCGTTGCCGGATGCATGCTCGTTTTTTTTTTTTGTGTCCCGACCGCAGCAGAGTCAGCACTCTTGCTGCTGTGACGGGAAAGAGCCCCACTAACGCGATGCAAAGAAAAGAAAATCGACCATTTGAGCCCACGGGCCCAAACAGGCGAGTAGGTGGCAGAGGTAGTGGAGGTGTAAAGGTACGACTGATGGCATACTTCACACTTTCACTTTCGCCTGTTGAAAGAATACATTCGGTCATCTAAACTGACCTGGATCTCCCACTTGCTGTCTCATACACGCACTCATCTGTGTGCACAAGGACAAGCACAGACATATAAGTGTGAAAAATATTAGATATACACAGCTTCACTCTTTCTGGCCTTGTTGTGCTGAATTTTATGGTGTGGGTGGAGGTATTAAAAACCTCATATGGTGCTTTTTTTTTTCTTTTTTATCAAGAGCCACATAGAGAACAAGATACAATCTGCTCGTGTTCATGCACACTTCACACACGCACGCACACACTGTCAACCGAGGCACTATATTATCACAGAAAAAGCTCAATAAAGCCACATGAGGTCTGTAACAAAGCTTTTGGCAGACAGAACCCTGGGCTGTGTGCTTTCCCCACGGAGCAGACCACCCTCTCTGTCCGCTCCAAAAACAATATTAAAAACACACCATCCCCTGTTGCTCCCCAAATTTATGGGTGTTGCAAGTCTCGCAAAGGAAGCACTTTTTGGTTTGAGTTTTTATGATTCCCTGTCTCATAAAGTATATCTTATCAGATCTCCCTCTCTCCGTGGAGGGAGAAGACACTGGGGCCCCGCGCCGCTCGCATGCTAATGCAGCTTTGGAGCGATTGCCGAGCTCTAGTGGTTAATTGATTTTGTGATTAGCGGCAATTAGCGCTGATTACATCAGACCTGAAGAGGACCCTTGTGTCTTCCTCCTCTCTGTTTGTGTCACTCACAGAATATTTCCCTTATCTCACAGGTATCCGTTCCCCACGGTGTTCAGCAGCTGCAGCAAGAAGGACCTGACGGCCAGTTTTGAAAAAGGCGTCGGCATGTGTCTGTTCAACATGCCTGAGGTCAAGGTGCTCTATGGCGGGCAGAAATGCGGCAACGGCTACGTGGAGGAGGGAGAGGAGTGTGACTGTGGAGAACTGGAGGTGAGAGTGCTATAGGTCGTGGGAAACGGTCCTCGTTTTTGTTTTGTTTTTTTATCTCCAGACTTCTTGCAATTCTTCAACATTCTCGTTTTATGCCCCTTCTTCTTAACTGCTACCCATAAATCATTTTTAATTATATTTCCCACATTTGAGAGCAGAAATGCTGGTGGGGGTTTCTGTAACCATGGCACAAACTAAGGTTTCCCAAAGTAAAAAACAAAACCTCCTCCCTTTCGGCGCTGACGGCACAAAACTCTTCAGACAGTCTTCAGAAAATGACCTTAGAGATATGAGTGTAAATGTATTCATTCTGTGCACTGAACAGGTGTTCGAGAGGAGGGTTGTCAGATCGCGGTGCAGTTCGCTGAGAGGAAACATCGCTGACAGCTTCACCCTGTCAATTATTTAAATGAATCTGCAATGGCATGCACATACGTAATGGTGGCACGCGTTGCTAACTGCTCTGACTGCAGCATGATGAAACGGTTAATCCTGATGCAACTGACATTCAGCAGAGGCAGGCTGACAAGAACTGAGCTGTGAAATATGAAGGAGACATCTATTATGATTTGGAAGGATATTTTGAATTATATAACAGCCTACGTGAGAGAATGCCTTGTTTTTTTGCCATTTGTTTACACCTTTATAGCCCAGTGAGTTGGGTTTTTTTTTTTGTTTGTTTTTTTGTGAGCTGTTCATGCCTCAGCCAGGGTCAGGCTGAAAGTGGCCTTGTCCTTCAAAACAAAGAACTGACATAAACCCCGCAGGCCTGAGCCAGCAGCGATAATAAAGCTCTCCACAGAGTTGAGCGGCGTCACGCCAACCCAGGCCAGATCTGAGTGCTCAGACTGCACCTCTCTCCACCATTAAAAAGCCTCATTAAAAAAATCCTGGGTCCAATTCCTCACAATCAGAGGCTACTTCTTTTCAGCGCGACTCCTCCGCCTCCTTTGGCCCCAGGGACCATGGGAAAGGCCCTTAATGGTTTTTTAGGCTGAAAGAAGTTCTGGAAGGCCCATCATGTCAGCTGAGTCCCCTGCCAGGTCCATCCATCTACTTCCTCCCGAGTCTCACTGCACTCAGCTGTACAGTACGTTCAGACCGTAATGGCAAAGAGAGAAAGAGCTGACCCTCGGGGGGGGGGGTTCCGCCCGCCTCTGTGTGAGATCATACGCGCACCAGCGGACATACACATCGTATATGCTGAGCCCCCGATTGAGAGCTAGCTTCCAACTGTATCAGCAGGCAGAGAGCTGCTGATTGGTGCAGGGCATGGCTCATGATAAAGGCTAACATGAAACAGATGGGCCTCCATGGTGAGAGGAGAAATGTTACAGGGATGGTGCAGATTCTGTTTGTCTCTCTCCCCCTCTCTCTCTCTCTCTCTCTCTCTCTCTCTCTGCACCACAAAAAAAAAAAAGGACAAGAATGTCTTAAATCTTGTTTTAGGAGGATTTAATCTTTGTTGTCACTGTCCAAAACAAACAATCCTATCAAGCACCTCTCACATTTGATTATTAAACTCGCTTGATTTTTCTGAGTAAGAGATTCAATCTGTGTTTTGGGTCAAGATAACAAAAAGCAGGTTTGAAAGGCTGGTTCCACGGTTGTCATGCTAATATTCCAAACAACCTAAGATTAAAAAAACAAACGCTGCAATTATATGGTTTTCTTTTCATACTTTGTTAAAGAGCCCACTGTTCACTGCAAAAACAATGCATAAAGTAAATAAAGTAAATAAAGTAAGTGGATACATTTTATATTGAGATGTAAAAGCTGGTTGGGCCTCAGCAGACCGCTACGCTAGCTTTAAGAAAAATGATACTTGACCCACGTATGGGTTCACTTCCTGACTGTGGCAGATGCTGCTTTTCTCACTCCTACCTGCACAGAGGTTGCGTGATTGGTTGGGTGAGGGGAGAGTAAATCTGCGTGCGTTGCAACCTGCTGGTAAAAGCTCCTCACGCTAATTTTAAAAAATAGCAGAAGAATTTGTTTCTTCTTTTTCGGACACTTCTGTGTCGTGCTGCAGTAGAATATGAATTTCTACATTTAACAGAATGTAGGAAACCGTTTTTTAAATTTTTTTTTTTTTTTTTTTTTACAGTTTTATGGTCAGATACTGTGTGACATGGTGGCTTAACTTTTGTATCACTTCAATCCTTTGCTTACCCCTCTTTCAGTTTTTTGTTTAATACTGCCATTGCCATTTTCCCTGCATTACACAATATTTTGCTTGTTTTTTTGTTTAGTTTTTTTTTGTTTAGTTTTTGTTTTTCTTTTCTTTTTTCCTCTCCTCATTTTTCTATTTCCTTCACCACCCTGCTCATGGTTCCAGGGGTCTGAATGAGCTTGTCAGATGGAAGCATTGTTGTTTTTAGAGAACTAGAAACTGCTGTTTCCTCTCCTCTGCCAGGATTTTGAGTCCTTCTAGGGTTGCATTCGCTCTGATAACAAAGTCTGAGCGTTTGCTCTGAGGTGAAATATGATCTCTTTGTGTTGAGTTAAATTTTCTTTACTTTTGCTCCCCCTCACTTCCATTCCCTCTCTCTGCTTTTCCATCTGAAGGAATGCATGAATCCCTGCTGCAATGCTACTACCTGCACTCTGAAGGGAGACGCCGTCTGTGCACACGGACAGTGCTGCCAGGACTGTCAGGTGAGAAATATACTGACTAGCCGGCCATGACAGTTTCCTACAATGCATCTTGACATGAAGATATTTTCTCTGATCAGCTTTAAATCAGCACCAGTTAATGAAATTTGGTAGATATTTCTCCAGAGCTCTTTACAGCTCACTGCATATTTGTCTAAGCTTCCCTCTGGGTCTTTGTCTTCATGTCTGTTTCTCGGTGTGTGTTTCTGAGTGTAGCTGAAGCCAGCAGGCACTCCATGCCGTGAATCCAGTAACTCCTGTGATCTGCCTGAGTTCTGCACTGGCAACAGCCCTCACTGCCCCTCCAACGTCTACCTGCACGACGGCCACGCCTGCCACAATGTGGACGGCTACTGCTACAACGGCATCTGCCAGACTCATGAGCAGCAGTGTATCACACTGTGGGGCCAAGGTACATTTTGCACCTGATACTGTCTGTGAATTGTTCAGTAATGGTCGCCAGCTTTTTCATGTGTTTCACTGTGTGTCGTAGGGGCCAAGCCGGCTCCGGGCATCTGCTTTGAAAGGGTGAACTCAGCAGGAGACCCTTATGGCAACTGCGGCAAGGACTCCAAAGGCTCCTTTGCCAAATGTGAAGCACGGTAAGACCTGATGTTGCCATAGAAACCAGTGATTGCATTAAATTGTGTGCCATTTGTGGAATACAGTGAAGGGTATATACTGTGGTTACTCTGTAAAGAGACGTTTTTCATTTCTACAGACTGGATTGTGTGTTATTGACTCTAGTGCTGAAACAATCAGCTGATTCATCGATGAGTTGTTTAAGTAATTAAAAAAGCAAAAATTGGTTCCAGCTTCTGAAGTGAAATGTGAAGAAATGTGCTGTGTTTCTCTGTTTTATATCATTGTAACCCTCACATCTTTTGGCTAATTGACTGTTGCATGGATAGAATAAGCAATTTAAAGACCTCACATTGGGCTCTGGCAACTCGGAATGGGCTTTCTTCACAGTTTTTTGACATTTTATAGACTAAGCTATTAATCAAAAAATAACTGGCACATTAAACAATGGAAATGATCATTAGTTGCAGCCCTGATTGCGGGATACAGAGCAATGCAGCACGTTACAGAATCTCCCAGGTTGTGGTGTGAGAACAGCACAAACAAGCTCCCTGTTCTGCAGTTTCTCTAATTGGCCAGCTAGAGTGAGAGCAGAAATAATTGCATATGTACACATTTGGGAAAAACTGTGACATGTTATTAAATTATCACATTGTTATTCTCCCTGTTGTTCATTCTGTTTACAGAGATGCTAAATGTGGCAAAATCCAGTGTCAAGGAGGAGCTAACCGCCCGGTAATTGGCACCAATGCTGTTTCCATAGAGACAAACATACCCCTGCAGGAAGGGGGAAGGATACTGTGCCGCGGCACACACGTCTACTTGGGTGATGACATGCCCGACCCCGGCCTGGTCCTGACGGGCACCAAGTGTGGAGATGGAATGGTGAGAGCTGAGGCCAGAGACGGTTAAATACATCCAGTGTACACATACACACACACACACACAGACACACACACACACACACACACACACACACACACACACACACACGCATGCGACACCACACCACACATGCAGCACACAGATCAGTCAGCAGCGAGCAGCTGACTCATTACGCGTGATTGACAGTAACTAATGTGTACTCAAGTACTGTACAGTTTTGAGGTGCTTTTCTGATGTATGTTCTCTTTGTGCCGGCCTAGACATCGATTGTACTACAGGTGAAAGAGAATTACTGTACTTTTTACTTTAATTAATTTGTTATTTTTGTATAGATTAAGATTTTACATAGAACACATATGATCAGTTGACAGTTTGTAAGATTTGTTGCAGTAAGTAATTGAAACTGAACCAGCTAGAACATTAAGAGCTTCTTACACATTAAGGCATTAGTAATACTGTACATAAATGAATACCTTAATATGTCAGTAACACATAAAGGATAAAAATGTGACTCTATCTTTAAATAGTGTCATTAATCAACAGATCAAGCAACCAACCCTACGATTAATAGATGACCTGCTTATTTCACCTGCAGCTACAGGCAGGTGCTGCACAATTACAAATGAGGGACTCTGAGTACTCTACCAAAGAGGACAGAAAAGAATATATCTGATTAAATATGTAATTCAAAGACGAGCACGAGTACAGAAGCCTTGAAAGACAAGTTACATTTTTTTGCTATATCATTTTTCTAAGTTTGTGTTTTCTTCATCTGTATAAACAACCCCCAAGAGACAAATGAAGCAGTTTCTTTCTTTCCTTTTCTTTTTCACAGATGAAAAAAAAAAACAAAACAAAAAACTGATCCTGGCAAAAAAAAAACTAAAATTCTCACCTGTCTTTCAGGGCTTCCGTACAGAGTGTTTTACAAAGGAAGAATAAAGATGTTATTCTACATGATAAGTTCTTTTACTTTAGTACTTCAAGTAACAATTTTGAATGTAGGACTGTAATTTGCATTCATTTTTTTCATTGCAGTATTGATACTTTTACTTGAGTGAAGGGATTTCTGGCTCATGGTGTTAGCGATCTGTAAGCCACCTGTTAAAACACAACAGAGACGTGCTGCCCGGATGCCTGAAGCAAGAGTGGAAAAAAGTGATGTGCAGTGACTAAGA